TCGTATTTTTTTTTTTAGTAAGAATAGGTTCTATATTTTATTGAAATTTTACATTGGTGTTCAACTTTAGTCTTTGGTTATATTTTTTTTTTCTTTCTAAGTAGATAATTTTTATTATATTCTTTTTAAATTTCTGTATGTTGAGTTTGTATTTTGATATTGATGTAGAATAGATAAAATTTGTTGTTATTAGAGGGTCTGTGGCCGAATGTCTAACACTCGTTTGACATCGCAGTTCGCAGGCTTGCTCCATTCGATTGCCAAATAAAATGCCATTCCGGTGAGGGTGAACAGTGCGACGTCAATATGGTCGCACTGTTCACTTGCGATTTTTTTTTTTTAATTTGAAAATTAGGTTAGAAAAAATTATGAGAAAGAATATAAATACACATAAATTCTTTTTTTGTGTTAGGAATTGGAGTTTTGTTAGAGATAAGTTACTGTATTTTAGAGTATTACTAAATTTTGGAGTGAATGTTGAGTTTTTCGGTTGGAGATGGCCTTAAAATATCGGCCCAACTGATAACAAAATCATGGAGTCAAAACTTAAGCTTCACTTGGGACAGATTTTTTATTGGTTTTTAAAGCATTTTTTTAGTACAAAAATTAAAAATTTTCTACTGGAAAGCTACTTTAAGAAACGGTACGAAAGTTATCCCAAAAGAAACCTTAGAGCTTGTTTGGTGTAGTTTTTTTACTATTTGGTTTTTTTCGATTGCAATCATATTTTTATTTGGATATTAATTTTTGGCTATTTTTTAGAAGTTTTTGTGGCGGGAAGCAAATTTTTGCAAACATATCTTTAGGCTTTATTTGGGATGGCTTTCTTACTGCTTCTTAAAGCAGCTTTCTAGTATAAAATTTTTAATATTTGTACTTGAAAGCTACAGTAAGAAGGCCGTAAGAAAGTCAACCCAATCGAAGTCTTAATGTTTGAGAGCTGTATGAAAATTGTTGTCTAACTTATAAAAAGATATATTTATAGCACCAATAGCAATAGCTTCACAATTATTTTTATAAAAAATTAGTTAATATAGTTTTTTTATACATTCATCATTGAATAAAAAAAATAATTAAATTTATCATTATCTATGAATCATCATCTTCTACTCATTACATGAAATATTAAATTTATCTCCCATTATTTTTCTTCATAGCTTAAAGCTTTCTTTGGGATGCTTGTCTTATTGTTTTTTAAAGATGTTTTTTAATAAAAAAATAAAAAAATTTATACTAAAAAGTTGATTAAAAAAGCATTAAGAAAATCATTTCAAATTAAAGGTTAAGGGTTTGTTTGGGACGGCTTTTTTATTGCTTTCTAAAACGGAGTTTTAGTACAATTTTTTTTATTTTTGTACTCAAACTCCGTTTTAGAAAGCAATAAAAAAGCCGTCCCAAACGAAGCCTAAATCTCCACTAATTTACGTTCATTATTTTTTTTTTTTTCAAATTTTCAATATTTAATTTAACATATCGTCTTATTCATGCATCTTCTACATATTATTATATTATCCCACATAAAAAATTCATTTTTTTCTAACCTTATCTTCAATAAATAAAAATATGTTACACATATTATTCTTATGATATAGCGACTTTTCTATGTCATTCCTATTGTTGACACGCATTTTTTTTTATATTTTTTCATTCTATGGCTCATTTTGACCATCAATAACTTCTATGCCACCTAGGCACCTATGACTTAGATCCAAAAATAAAATAAAATAAATAAATAAATAAAATGACCACTAACTGTTAAATATCCATAATATTTTATTAGAAATATTCCTTAGATACTTCTCCCTAATACCAACTGAAAAAGTATCTCTTCATGCATATCTTCATTGACCTTTGTTCTCATAATTGATAATTTGAATGGGCTGATCATGAGCTAATAAACTTAAGTAATTATTATAATAAAAATATGATAAAAAGAGAAATTATAATATAAATAATGAGAAATCATTTGATACAAGTGAGATAAAACTTTTAAATATTTGTAATAATTTTATACTTAATGTCTTGAATGTTGATATAATTTAAGAATATTTTACATTAATAATTTCTAAATAATTACTTAAAGTCTTCTTATTCATGCCTCGAATATTAACAATAAGTGAGAAATAATATAATTGCCATGCAAGCTTAAGAAATAATATAACTATCAAAATTGTTAAAAACCTTAATCATATGATATAGAAATTTAATATCGTTCTCATCGTTAATGATCCAAGCACACTTAGAGCATCTCCAACCGAAAAACCCGTTTTCCACTCTAAAATGCAGTAATTTATCACCAATCAAACTCCTGTTCTTTCTCCTCTTTCGTGCACTTCTTCATCTTGTTGCGAAACTAACAATCTTTCTCCTCTTTCGTGCTCTTCTTCAGCAAATCCTGTAACACAAAAAATTGACATATGTGAACAGTGTGACACCAGAACAGTGTGACATCAATATTGGCATCGCATTATTCACCTATCAAATTTTGATATGCGATTTAAAATTCGAATGAAGCGAATGGTGGATGGCATACCACCGTATGCAATTCCATTGGAGATGGTCTTAATTAGCATGTTGTTGAATCCATTTGGTTTCAAATTCAATAGTAATAATTATTTCATGTTGAATATTTAGCACCCAATGAAAGAGGATTGGGTAAAGTGGTTGAACTACAAGACAATTGAATACATAATATTAGCAATGGGATTGAATTAACCTAGATATTTCCCTTGAAAGACAATATGAAATGCTTGAGTATATTATAAAAAGCAAAAATTAAGTCACCTTTAAAATAAATCTCTCAAGCATTAATAATAATGTCCCAAATAGACCCTAAGATGTTTTAATTTCTTTTATTTTTTTAATTTACATTAATATGACATAAATTTTATATTTTTATATTTAATTACTTAGCATAGCTTAAATCTACACAAGTTTTTTTAATCTATATTTACTATTTTTTTGAATCCTTCTTTATTAATTTAATATAGCTTTTTTATACATTCATCATTGAATAAAAAAATAATTAAATTTATCATTATCTATGAATCATCATCATCTTCCACTCTTACATGAAATATTAAATTTATCTCCCATTATTTTTCTTCTTAGCTTAAAGCTTTGTTTGGGATGATTATCTTATTGCTTTTTAAAAAAAAATTAATACAAAAATTAAAATTTTTATACTAAAAAGTTACTTTAAAAGCAGTAAGAAAGCCGTTCCAAGCGAAAGCCTAAATCTCAGCTAATTCATATTCATTATTTTTTTTTCAAACCTTCAATATTTAACTTTACATATCGTCTTATTCATGCATCTTCTATATATTTTTATATTAGCCCAAATAAAAAATTCATATTTTCTAACCTTATCATCAATAAATAAAAATATGTTAAACATATTATTCTTATGATATAGCGACTTTTCTATATCATTCCTATTGTTGCCACGCATTTTTTTTTTTTTTAATATTTTTTTCATTCTATGGCTCATTTTGACCATCAATAACTTCTATGCCACCTATGACTTAGATCCAAAAACAAACAAATAAATAAATAAAATGACCACCACTAACTGTTAAATATCCATAATATTTTATTAGCAATATTCCTTAGATACTCCTCCCTAATACCAACTGAAAAAGTATCTATTCATGCATATCTTCATTGACCTTTGTTCTCACAATTGATAATTTGAATGGGCTGATCATGAGTTGACTCGTTTATTGTGATTCAAGTAATTATTATAATAAAAATATGATAAAAAGAGAAATTATAATATTAATAATGAGAAATCATTTGATATAAGGAAGTAAGATATAATTTTTAAGTATTTTTAATAATTTTATACTTAAAGACTTCAAAGGTGATATAATTTAAGAATTGAATATTTTACATTAATAATTTTTAAATAATTACTTAAGGTCTTCTTATTCATGCCTCCAATGTTAACAATATGAGAGAAATAATTACTGGCTTTAGTTGCCATGCTAGCTTAAGAAATAATATAACTATCAAAATTGTTAAGTTCCTTAATGTGATTGTGATTTGATATCGTTCTCATCTTTAATGATCCAAGCACACTTGGGGCATCTCCCCAGTTTTCCAATCAAATTACATTTATTTCTCCTCTTTCGCGCACTTCTTTATCTCGCTTAACCATCTTTCTCCTCTTTTGCGCGCTTCTTCGGCAAATCCTGTAGCACAAATAATTGGTGTTACAGGATTATGTGACGTCGAAACAGTGTTACGCAAACATGGGCGTCGCACTGTTCAACTATTACGCAAACATGATAGAAGAGAAATGGAAATGTACCATCCAATTGAGATTAGATAATGCCTAATCCAAATGACATTTGATGGGATTAATAATTTAATCACTAATTTTATCATTAACATTTTTTAATATAGATTAAGTTCCCCAACAATAACCAAAGCTTCATACTACTTACAAATGACTAGCTTAATAAATTAACATGGATGAATAAAATGAGGAAATTAATAAAGAACAAACACCAACCTACCATGAAAGAACTAAGAGTTAATGTGTCAAGAGAGCTTCACTTGATCATTGTTCCATTTAGGCTTCATTTTGAACAACTTTAGACCATTAATTTTTTCCTACTTTCAAGATATTTTTTAACTAAAAAATACCGTCCTGAAGCGAATCAAAACGCACCATGTCACCCTACACAAAGCTGTGAAACACAAGAAACGGGTGACATAACGCATTATAATTTGCCTCTGAACATCATTTGTATCCGCACAGAATAATTTCACAAACATGAAGAGGTGATACCAAGCTTGCTCCCAATTTTTTGTGAGTCAATTTCATTCCAACAATATAACACTTTTATTGCTAGATCCTAAATCCTGAATGAGAAAAATATAAGATTACTTCGGTGATTATCACAACCAAAATAAAAATTATCGAACAATCACAACATAAATTCTGTAATACTTCCATTCCAACAATATAAAGGGAGATTCAGCAACTTTATTCATATAAGAATCTCCTTAAAATCTTCTTTTTACTGGTTTAAAATCAGTAGCATTCCCTTATATTTCCGATTACATTAGTAGCAAGAAAATGGGGCTCTCTAGTTCACAAGTTACAATCAAATTTCAACTGATAAACTGAGGAACAAAATCAACACAAATTCAGTAAATTCCTTAACATTTATAATTACATTCTAAGCATGCATCCCCTCCAATAAGACAAACAGAACCCTCATCATACAAAATCATGTCGATAGTTCTAAGCAAAATAACTCTGTAGTTGTGTTATTGAATTTACACTAAAAAAAAAACCCAAAAAACAATAAAAAAGTTGCTACCATAACACAACATTCCTCTGCGGCTTCGTTTGGGACGGCTTTCTTACTACTTCTTAAAGCAACTTTTTATAGAAAAATTTTATTTTTTTGTACTAAAAAGCTGCTTTAAGAAACAGTAAAAAAGCCGTCCAAAACAAAGCCTAAATCTGTTGCAAACCCATACTCTTTGATTTCAGGTTAAGAAATTGAACAAGCTATCCACTATCGAGGCTTCTTCGTATTTGATTTGCTGCTCCTAAATGAAGATAGCGAAAAGAATGACCGAGTAGCTGAAGGCAGAGATTCAACAGAAGAAAAATGGATTAGAAATTTAGAAGAAAGATAGCTAAAACTTTTCAGGCTTACAACTTACCTTTTGTTGTTGTTGTTGTTACTCCTGTTGAAATATGGCCGCCGCGCAGCTTATCGGAGCCTGAGGAACCTGCAGAACTAGGATTTAGTTCAACTGCCAGAGTACAAATCATGTAAGATCCAAAGAGGACCTTTCTGAATAATAAAATAGATGGCTAGAATATCTTAGTTTATCAGATAAGTTCTGATTACGCAGCTCTATTTGATTTGTTGGTTGGGAGTTTGGCTCCTAATTAAGATATTTTGGATTCGAGTCTTATGTATGTGTTGTGTTGTGTGTGAGTTTGGACGTTACCCCTAATTTGAAATCAGATAAAATCAGTGAGTACAATGGATTAATTTAAAAGGGAGAAAATGATCAAAATGTTATATTGATTCTTTATAAAAGATCAAAATAATTCCCGACTATATTAAAGGGATTATTTTGAACCTTCATAAAATGATCATTTAAATTAGGAAATGATCATTTAAATATAGTTGGAAACTATTTTGATCCTTCGTAAAAAGTCAATGAACAATTTTGGTTCTTTTCTCATTTAAAATATTTAGATTTGGACTTATACTTTTGATCAAAATCAAGACCACAAAACAAGTCTACCAAATGATCTAGAAAAACCAATACTCATACCAGTATTAGGAAGATGACCACCCTTACGCACTACTCAAAAAAATAACACACTCAACTTGCTCTCTCAAGATTAAAATTACAAAAGAGCAACTTTATTCAAGCAAAATTATTTTTTGATCTCTATTGAGAAGTTTTGGTCTTCGTTTTGAAGGCGAGTTGACCATCTCCATTTTAGGAGATTATGATCCAAAAAAATTTCATCCTATTTTGAAGCTCCAATACTATTCCAACGAGTAATTATTGTCAAAATTTTATGCAGTTTATGGAAGAGATGATGTTAAAAAAATACTCCAATTCTTGGAGTTTGACTTTCATCTCGACATTTTCTTTGATGTTGGTGATACCAAGCACTAACGTTGGCGTTGAAATCATTGAAAAATTGTCTCTTTACATCTAATTTTTGGAAAAAAAGAATGCTGGTTGGAAGCTAATGTATAACTATTGACATGTAAATCCAACAATTCTATATGCTACTTTGAATCGAATTTTTTTTCATGTGCAAATTTGATTAATGTTTGTAATCAATTTATTAGAAGCAATGAACTCTCCGTCTTTGCTTAAGAATAATTCATACTTGTGATAACTTACCCCAAGAGAAAATTAAATCATTTTAGGCTATCATTCCAACCTGAATTCTACTAATAATATCCCCATCTATTTCACCATCACTCTGAACAATAAATCCAAGTTATCTAAAACATGTACTCCTATTAATGACTTGATAGCCCAAACTCACAATCCTCCCATTAGATCTATTACTACTAAAATTATATTTCATATATTTGGTTTTAGATCTACTCAAACGAAAACCTTTAGACTCTAAGATTGACCTCCATAATTCAAGAGCACAGTCAACTCCCTCTCCAGCCTTAGCAACAAGAAGAATATTATCAACAAAAAGCATACACCATACTACCATAGTACATCTTGCAAATGTCTAGTAAGTACATCCATGACTAAAGCAAAAAGATATAGGCTTAAAGCTAATCATTGATGTAATCCAGCTAAAATAGGAAAATACTTGGCCAAACCACCTTGTCTTTGAACACAAGTAATAGCTCTTGCATACATATCCTTAATGACTTGAATATAAGCATTTTTAACCCTTTTCTTTTCTAAAACTCTCCATTGCACTTCTCTTGAAACTTTACATATGCTTTCTCTAAGTCAAAAAATATCATATTTAGATCCTCGTTATTCTCTCTAAACTTCTCCATCAATCCTCTCAAATAAATGTATAGCTTCCATAGTAGACCTACCCAGCATGAATACAAATTGATTTTGAGAAACATTAGTATCATGTCGTAACTCATGCTCAATAACTCTCTCCCATAATTTTAAAGTATGAAACATTAACTTAATTCCTCTATAATTTGCATACTTTTGAGCATCATCTTTATTCTTAAAAATAAGTATCAACATAGTCCTCCACTCATATGGAATCTTTTTAGTCTTCAAAATAATATTGAAAAGTTTCGTAAGTTAATAAATTCCTTTATCTCCTAGGCATTTTCACACCTCTATTAGAATATCTCAGGTCAAACAACTAATGTGTCATACTGAGATTTTTAGCTCTGTTTAAAATTGCGCAATTAGAGGCGCGCCTTGAGGCACGCCCTTGCGCAATTCCTTCAAAAAACGCCTCATAACCTACGCAATTCCTGGTCCTAGTGAGGCGTACGCCTCACTGGGACTGAGGCGCGCCTCAGAGGCGCAATTGCGCAATTCCTGGTGAGGCGTACGCCTCTTTGGGATAGGGCCCACTCACTTAAAATGAGCCATTTCCTCTCCTTTTACCTGATAGCCTTCTCTGCTAAACCCGACTTTTCTCGGTTTCTCCCTCCCGCACGCTCCAGGTCGTGCCTCAGCACGCCGTCGGCCTCCTTCCCGCCGCTTCCCGCCGGCGCCGCCTCTCTCCGGCGAAGTGGAAACTTCCAGCCGCCCTCTAGGAGTACTCCACATTAGATTTTAGGTATTTTTATCAAGGTTAGGGATATATTTTTCAAGTTTAAGAAAAACTAGGGTTTAGGTTTTTTT